TTACAAAACATGTCCTCTATCAAAAGAAGCCAAAAAACATAACCGAAGGTCCTTTGTTTGGCCAACAAATAAAAACTTACACACTCCTCCGACTTTCTTCATTGTGTTTTCATTTTTTTCGGGAGTTTTTTGTAAATAATTTGTAGATGACATTTGTAACAATCGCCAAAGATCATTAGGATTTCAACGCCGATCGAGCAGCTGCATTTTCCCCCGCCATCTACCGTTTTCCCCATCTTTCTATAACATATTTTCCCCTCTTCCATTTCTGGGCTAATTGTCGCGGGCTGAAAAGAAAGTCCATTCAAAATGGTTACGGATCGCTACTACCAAATATCAATTGTTATAAAGTAAATAAACAGGGGCCAAGTCGAGGAAAATCGAAGAAAATGAGGGAAATATGTGCAAACAAGGAGCACAAATGATCGGTGAGAATTCCATGACATGTGACCCAAGGACCCAAGGATTCGAGGATTCGGCCAAGAAAGAGTAGCGCACACGGGCCAAAGAACAGCTGGCAGCCGGAAAACTGTGTGGAAAACGGTGGAAAACCAGCCAATGCATGGGCACCTAACCAAAACACAATTTTGTGGGAGTGTCGCAAAGGCAAAAAGAAAAGAAAAAAAGGAAACCCAAAAAAGGGAAAAACAGAAGGAACCCCGAAATACACTCATTCCCCGTTTTCCACCACACGAAAGAAAAAAACACCCCCAAAAACGCAGAAAAAAAATCACTCAAACAAGCATTTTCCAATGGAAAGTGGTGAACCGGCTGTGGTGTAATTTTTTCCGAGGGTTGAAGGCCGTGAACGCGGGGAGCGGGGGGAAGGGGAAAACCGCTGCCGACGTCGCTGCCAGCGCCGCTGCCTGCGCCACAACCAAAACAACAAACCACAATTCACTTACACAACGCCGCAGTCGCAGTCGCTCCGCTGCCGCCGCGCTGCCCGCTTTTCTACGGTTATTTTTTAAAATAAAAACATTGCCTCAAGTCGGCGGCACGAATTTTACAATTCACTCTATTTACCCTTCAAATATTTTAATTTGTTTTTTATTTGTAATCATTTTATTATCAGTTGAAATATATCATTTGTAAATATCTTTGTAGATTGTTAACTTAACTAGGGTTTGAAAAGTGGATGGATTTTAAAAAAATGTTTTTTACAAATTTATATAGTAAATTTAAAATTGGTTTGAGTGACCTTATTATTTTACAAAATTCATGTTTAGTCATGTAATACAAACTGATAACAATATATTTGATTTTATTTGTATTACTTATTTTAACTTTAACTTTTGTTAAGGTTCAAAGCTGCATACTCTCATCTGTCAAGAGTATAAACATTTTTCTCGGCTGGCACTCGCTTTAATTTTTTTGGCTTTGTCTGTGAGAATTTCCCCTGCGCCACTGGAATTTCCACGATGCCTGCGTTTTCCACTCCTTGTTTGTGTTTTTTAAAAGGACTCCTTGGGTCCTGGGATCCCTGTGAGTTTAGTGTTGCCTAGTTAACGGCTGAGCGTAGAGCTCCATGAAAAGAGGCGGAGCTACGATCACTTGTATCCGTCTCATTCGTTCACCTCTCTCTCTCTCTCTCTCTCTCTCTCTTATTTGGCACGATCGCTCTATTAATAAATCATCCCCTCTTGGATGTCTGGTATTTTTTGTACCATCTGCTCCTCAACGGTTGGCTGATCTCTGCGGTTACCCCAACCCCTTGATCGTTTCTCCTTCTCTTTCGATCCATTTTTTTGCCGTCCCTTTCGGTTGAAAGGGAGGGATCTTGAATATATAAATATATACAATGCAAATGATCGGTCTAATTTGGGGTTGATGGAAATGCTCGCATTCTGATCTTTGAAAATTTAGAATTCGAAAGATCTTTTAGCGATCGGAGTTTCCTTGGGATATCATTTCGGCGATCTTTGTTAGGGGTAAGCACCGAATTTTCACGTAAGTAGGTCAAGTTTTTGATATATTTAAAAAAATAAGTTGGGATTTCTATTAGTTTACTTAACAAAATTTTTACAAATTTAGTACATATTTCTGTAAAGATTTACAGATCTTTAATCCTCAACACTTAGGTCCACTAAAAAAGTAAAATCCACGCGAGTTTTGGTTAACAGGTAGGCCGTTTCAGATGCTCATACTTAATTTTTTGGACCCATATTTTATGACCCGTGGCGGCGGCTAATCGGCCAAAATATTTGCGGGGCGTGTTTGTTAATCCGAGCGATTGACTTTCATAAGCAAAGGATTAAGATTGCGCGGTTGCACTACCTGTTTTTAGGTGCGATGTGTCTGTAGTTCAGGTAATTTGAAACAGTAATCCATAGGTTTTCCTATTTTTTCTGGGGGCCGCAAAAAAGCACCCGAGGATCAATAAAAAAAGGGTTGATCCTTGGCTCCTGTGGGCCCGTAACGGTCCGGTGTGGGTTGCAGGTACTACCTGATGTTAGTGATCCCGATGGCCAGGTCCTGCGGATCCTGCGATGCGCGTGCTGCGGCGGCTTCTGTCGCAAATTGCCAAGGAATCGCAGCAGGATCCAAGGAGCGACGACAGGAGCGCTGATTTCCCGGGAATCGGCCAAAACGGCAATCGGCCAAAAATCGCGTCCTTGTCGCACGCCCGCCAAACCTGCCGTACATCCCGGGGATATATAGAATCAGTATAGGGACACGAGGTCCTTCGCAGCGAGCGGCCGCGCACGTACAAAAGGCAGCGCTGCCGATTTACTGGATTTACTGGAAGTGTGCGTCTATCGCGTCCAGCTGAGAGCGGCGCGTTCTCGCGACATTTTGGTTGGTCTTGCCCCGAGATTTTCACCCCACCCCCTCCACCTTTTCCCCTCCCACTTGAGGAGGCCTGGAACAGCCCCCCTCCGGAAAAAGTCGGGGTCCTGTGTGGCCTCGTTTTTAAGGTTGTTTTGGTGGGCCGCAATTTTTTGGCCTGTCAGGCACTTGATTTTAGTTGCACTGCAAGAAATATGCACAAAATTAAATTATATCTTAAAATATACAAAATATAAAAATGTATTCCAAATGCTACCAAAATTATTACTATTCATAAATATCTAGTTAATTTTTTGTGTAATTTTAGGAAAATAAGTATTGATCTATTTCTAAAGATCAAAACTAATTTATTCTTATATAAACTCATCATTTGTTAATTGTATTAAAATTTTTGTGCACAAAAATACAGCAAGCGAAACGTATTTAAATTATGTTACACAACGAAAATCAAAATCTTGAAATCCTATACAGTTTATGTATCGATAGCCCACAGAATAGTAGACTGTGTAAAAGTATTTTGTGTCCTTCCAAGTATGACACTTCCGGATCAGATTAAATCCGATCAGTTAGCTAAACCTGATCCAATCAAGGATCGGCGATCACAGGCAGTGAAAATGGAAATGAAATCGAAGAGGATTGCGCCACACGAACTGAGGGGCGCACAAATATTTACATGACTAATCGCCAGATAATCGCCCGATCAGCATTAGGATTACGTCGATCCGTCGAGAGATCGCTCGCAGTGAATTTTAGATAGCATTCGGAGCACACCGGACTTGACAATGGGTGTTAGTTGGATAGATCCAGATCCAGATCGGAGATCGCAGATCAGTTAATCAAGTTCCGAGATCGATCGCTGCTGGGATCAGTTTGAATGGAGGAAAACGGGGCGGGATCGAGGAAAAACATTGGGCAACAATGGACTGTGTTGCATGTGGGCAGGGATCACTGTTTCGTAATATGATCAGCCAGGGATTTCAGTTTATTTTGAATAACGCAGTAATTTTTGGGACAATGAAATTCGTATTTATTTTTTTTTATTACATTTTAATTGTTAATGTTTTTTTAATAAGAGAAGAAATATTTAAAGGGAATGTTTAAAATAAATCTAAAATATTGGGCTATGTGAAAATAATGTAAAAGTCAGTAAATTGAAAAGATAATCTTTTGAGACTTTTTTCTGAATTTTGATAAAATTTTTCAATAATTCAATTGATCGTTAAACCATTATATATTGTATATATGTACATTTTTAATGTATTTTGTGTTACTTTTATTTTTAATATAAATTTTTTGTATTTATATCCCTGATCTTGTATAATCCTTAGATTATCTCTAATATATTTATTTGCGTCTTGCTTCGAGGATCTCCCTCGTATTGTGATAATATTTATGATAATTTCGACCCTTGATCCCTCCTCCCATCGGCTAATTGAGTCCTCATGTCCTGTCGGCAGGACGCCCCTGGAAACCCCCGCCCCCTCAACGGCGATGGGTGCCTACCTGTACCTGTACCGCCCCCCTTGAGGACGCCCCTCGGCAGGAGGGCCGGCAAAACACGCGCGCCGCTGGAAGTGGAAAATGGAAAACTGTTGCACGGCCGTTTTCTTTTGGCGTGCGTGGCGTGGCATGGCGAAAAAAAGAAAATATAAACGAAGAAAAGGAAAACACACATTTTCCAGACCGCCCGTGGGGAAAAAGAGAGAGAGGACGAGACAGCGAGAGTGAGAGAGCGGAAAAGTCTCGGTGTATTTCTTTTTGAGTTTTTCTTTGGTGCAATTTCCAGGCCATCTCTCTCTCCCTCTCTCTCTCTTTCTCGCTCTCGCCCATGCGATTCTCCTTTTTCCGCTTTTATTTGTATTTTTTCCTTTTTGGCCACAAGTAACAAGCGACTTCTCTCTCACGTACACACACACACACACACAAGCACAGAGAGACCGCAATGGAAAAATGGGAAATTTTTTGCTGTGGTTGTTGTTGCGGCGGCAATGGTGGTTGCTCGATATACCGATATATACCTGCCCCGGCACCCTTAAAAGCGCGCCTGTGTGCGTAGGTAGCCAACCACACCACCATACCGCCCAGGATAATGGGCGAGAGCGAGACGGCCGAAGGCGGCGCAAGCGGGACGGAGCATAAACGCCGGCAGAGCAGTCGACCGAGGCGGCGAGCAGCGCATTCCACTTTAAATACTGCCAACGATCGCAGCAGAGAATCAGTTCACTCAGCGACTTTAGCGTGTCGAGAACGCACAGAGAAGAGATTTCGAAACCGAAAACAAAACCCGAAACCCAAAAACCGTTTCGAAAGCAATTCGAAATCGCGAAATCGAAGTTCAGCAACAAGAGAAAACCCTTAAGATTAATATACACATATACGAATACGAATTTTTTCCAAGTGACCCGAAAGTGAAGTGACATATAAACATATAAAAAGGCAAAAGCAAAATAACTCCAATACAAAAAGCCAACTGCAAGGATTACGACTTTCGGATACGAGATGCATTTGCCAGCGGGTCCAACGATGGTGGCCAACAACACACAGGTCCTTGCCGCCGCCGCAGCAGCAGCAGCCGCCGCAGCAGCCGCAGCAGCAGCGGTCCAAGGTCCTGTCCCCCAAAATAGCCAGAGCAACACTACCAACAACTCCACGACGAATCCCGGCCAGATGCCGAGCTTGGCCAACACCAGCACCCATTCGGCCAGCAGCACGGGCAGCTCCACTCCGGATCTCAGTACAAATAACACCAGCTCGAGCAGCAACGCCACCAGTCCGCAGAACTCGGCCAAGATGCCCAGCTCGATGACCGACATGTTCGCCAGCCTGCACGAGATGCTGCAGGAGTACCATGGCGAGTTGGCCCAGACCGGCTCCCCCTCGATCCTCTGCAGCGCCCTGCCGAACCACTGGCGATCCAACAAGTCGCTGCCGGGTGCCTTCAAGGTGATCGCCTTGGACGATGTGCCCGATGGCACCCTGGTGTCGATCAAGTGCGGCAACGATGAGAACTACTGCGGCGAGCTGAGGAACTGCACCACGACCATGAAGAACCAGGTGGCCAAGTTCAACGATCTGCGCTTCGTGGGGCGATCGGGACGCGGCAAGTCCTTCACCCTGACCATCACCATTGCCACGTATCCGGTGCAGATCGCCAGCTACAGCAAGGCCATCAAGGTGACCGTCGACGGGCCACGGGAGCCAAGAAGTAAGCAAAGTGAGTTTTTTAGTTTCCATTATGTTTTCAGTTCAACCCACAACCAAAGATCCCTTACAAATCCCTCCTTATTCAAGTCATTAAAAACATTTTTTAAAGTTAAAACCATGAATGATTCTTCTTTGATGAATCTCCATTTGATTTGAATATCTAACTATTCAAGAAATTCAAAAAAACCTCTTGTATTCTAAAGAAAATATTAACCTCACGCCAAGTATCCCCAAACCTCCCTCCACGAATCCTTTTATAAAACGTTATTTCGAATCCGAATTGTGCTTTACTGACTTCCTGCTCTTCCTTCTTGTCCTTCCAGGCTATGGCTATCCCCATCCCGGCGCGTTCAATCCCTTCATGCTGAATCCCGCTTGGCTGGATGCGGCGTACATGACCTACGGCTATGCGGACTACTTCCGCCACCAGGCAGCCGCTCAAGCCGCCCAAGTGCACCATCCTGCGCTGGCCAAGTCGTCGGCCTCCTCGGTGTCGCCCAATCCCAATCCGGTGGTGGCCACCAGCTCCTCGGCGGCGGTGCAGCCAACGGCCGAGTACCCACATCCACCCACGGCGGGTCAGCCGGCGGCCATGATGCCATCGCCACCGGGAGCGGCACCGGCCACTCCGTACGCGATGCCCCAGTTCCCGTTCAATCATGTGGCTGCCGCCGCTGCCGCCAAGGCTGCCACGCCCCACGCCTTCCATCCGTACAACTTTGCCGCCGCGGCGGGTCTGAGAGCACGCAACGCCGCCCTGCACCACCAGAACGAACCGGCCCATGTGAGTCCCGCCTCCTCGCGGCCGTCGAGCTCCTCGCCCACCCAACAGCACGTCCTGCTCAAGCTGAACACCTCGATCGAGACGAGCTCCATCCACGAGCAGTCCGCCAGCGACGGCGACTCCGATGACGAGCAGATCGACGTGGTCAAGTCGGAGTTCGACATGGACAAGAGCCCCCTGGATGTGGCACCGCTCCGCATGCGCTGCGATCTGAAGGCTCCCTCGGCCATGAAGCCGCTGTACCATGAGAGCGGTCCCGGTGCGGTCAACAGTGGCCGCCAGCCATCGCCGGAGACGACCACGAAGATCAAGAGCGCCGCCGTCCAGCAGAAGACCGTGTGGCGGCCCTACTAAACGTTGGGGCTCTCAACTCGAAGCTTCCTGGTCCTGGATCCAAAAAAACATGAAGAACGAAAACAAAAAAAAATCCAGAAAAAAACAAAGTGATAAAACAGCGGCGGCGCAGAGCGGCAAGCGGGCAAAAATTATAATTGTGATATAGTGTTATAAGTTACGACGCCTCCGGCCGGCAAACGGAGCAGCCTCATCATTGGGATAAAAGGATACGCAGCATTCATTCAGCAAGTGGAAAAAGAAAAGATAAAACTGGATAAAGGACCCAAACCCTCCTTCCCTCTCCTGGACTTCAGACTCCGGCGAAGTTTTATGCTCGACTCATAAAATCGTGTGGCGAGTTTAAGTCACAGGCCCTCGATTTTCACCAGGATTTACTCATCAAATCCAAGCCGAAAAACAAAAAAAAAAAACAAGAAAACTCAACCCAAAAAAGAAAACCAAGAAAAACCGACTTTAGTTCAATTTGATTTCAACACACAAAACATTTTGTACATAGCTAACTAGTTGTAACACTCATTTCCTATTTTTTTTTTTGAGGATCTATTTTTTTCGATGGATAATATGCGAATTTAGCTATTTTTAATCTTTATGTTTAACTAGTCGTCTAAGCGAGAAATCAATTTTTTTGTCTAGCCGTAAGTTTTAGCGCGAAAAGAAATCTAACACAAAAATCGAATTTGAAACAAAACCAAATAAAAAACAAAAATCTCACGAAAAGTATTTACAAAAAATATATAATATTTGTTTTCATTTCTTCTAAAATATTTCAGCAATATTTCTTTCAGGTTGAAAAGCAAGGTGTTCTAAAAGTTATTCGATAAAGAATAGAAACCATAAGATTATGTTATTCGGTTTGTTAAGTTGTCTTAACTTTTCTGTTTTTGCTTTTATTTTTAAGAGCGCAATATTTCAAAGAATTTTTCCACATTTCGTGATAAACTTTGTGGTTTTTCCCGTTCATACTAAATTTCGAGCATCAGAGATTGCTCGCAGACCTAAGACAAAATTACTATGATAATGCAACTAACCATGAATTACCCAGAATTTAAGAAATTCCCCAAATTGAATTATCAACACGAAAAGATGGAATTACCAACCACGAATTAATATTTCCACTTGAGCTTATCTCTCGAGTGCTTTTGATAACAGCGAGTTGTGGTTGTCGGCTGGCCAAAAAATTCAACCCAAGTGTCTTTCGCTCTTATAAAGAATATCTATTTCTATCAATCAAAATAATGATTGAGTCTCCTTCAAGAGAGCGAATACGATAAGGAACCAATAGACTTATACAAGTAAAAATTACAGTGCAGAGAGAATATATTTTAAATATAAATACTTATATTCTGTGTTAACAAATTTATGCTGGGTAAAAATGTTGTAAAAATGTCTGCGAAATGGCAATTTACGAAACCCTGAAGCCCTGAAAGTATGTTGGCCCAGTGTGAGTTGGTGGTCCTCGAAAATCGAAGGACATCTGCTGACCGCAGGACATGGACATGGCCAAGCCCAAGCCCAAATTGATGGCAATTAATGTGGATTATTGGTGATTAGGGAACCTCGTTGGGTCCGCAGGAGTTCACTTTTCGACAATTGTCGCATTAATTGGCATAACTAACTCGATTTCGTACCCCGGACTCGGATGTAGATGCAGATAGACGGATATGGGATCTGGGATATGGGATATGGGATGTGCGGATATACGAATAGGACAGCAAGACATGTCGATGCAGTTGGCCAACCGCAGTGAAATTTGTCGAGACCATTAACCGCACAGTCGTGTTGAGTTATCGCCTTTTGCTGGTCAACACCTTGGTTCCTTTTGGCTGTTGTGGGCTGTCAAGGTCGTCCCGCTGTCGCCCGACCTTGCCTTCGATTGGTCAAGGTCGCAGGATCTCCGATTTGGTGACAGGACGATGGGGTTTCTCACTTGGCCAAATCGCCGTGGGCGAGCTGTCAGTGGGAAACTATCTTACAAACTCTTTCTTTACAATCAGCCCAAAAAGAATTAAGGAAGAGCAACATGCTCAATGTGAAAATTAAGTAAACCACTTTATGTATAAATTATACGAATCGTAAGTGAACTTAAACGTTTTCAAAAAAATAATTTATAAAAATGCATTTTGGAGAAATTCTCTCAGCCAAGTGAATCCGATTGAAGCTGCGAATTTCGAATTTTTATCCCCGGCATTTGCTCAAATATTTTCCCAAAAAATAGTTGCAACCGTAATGATCCCACTCCCATTTGCGCCACACCACTTTTCCGGCCCACCACTTGCATTTTCGCATTTAATCAATGGAAAATTTACATTTTCACAATGTGTTCTACACTTTTCCCCATGTTTTTTCCAGCCTCCAGTCCTTTGGTTGTATTTTTGTTTTTTTTTTTTTTTTATTTTTTTGGCAGGCAAGGATGGATGCCGCCTCTTTTGTTTTACAAAATGGGCTTTGTTCGTTTATTTTTGGCGTTGGTGTATTTTGTTGAGTTTGTTGTTGATTTTGCTTGTCTTATTTTGTTGGGATTCGTGTTACCTTTTTGTTGCTTTCGTTACAGCTGTTTGTTGGTGGCATTATGTTATTTTTTATTTTGACTGTTTCTTTTAATGTAACATTTGGGGCTTTCGTTGGTGAATTGATTAATTGCATGCGTGTTCCACTTTAGGTTTTTACTCAAACATATATGGGTGATTTTGGGGTAAAGTTTTAATTTAAGTTAAAATATAGTGAACTCATATTTTCATTGATTCATTGCTTAAAAATATTTTCTTGTTGATTGCTAGTCTTATTTTTTGAAGGCAATTGGCGAAATAGTTGTTGTTAGCAGACTTGGCAGCTTGCGTTTCGCTTTTAAATTTTTGCTTTAATTGTTGTCGCTTCTGAGGTTGCTTGTGTGTGATTGCCGGCGGTTTGGAGCGTCAGTCGAAAATGCCTACACACAGATACAGATGCAGATACAAACACAGATACAGATACTGATGCAGTAAGAGATACACCGGGAAAATATACAAAGACACACGAAACCGCGCCACGCGAAACGAAAATCGAATCGCCAGCGAAACAAAACAAAACAAACAAGATGGGGAAAATGGAAAATGAGCTATGGAGGGGGGCGAATCAAAGGGGGCGGGGGCGGTGGCGGTGGCGTGTGGGGAGGGGCCAGCGAAATGAACCGAAAATATAAAAATGGCCAATGGAAAATGGTTGGCCAGAAATTACAAAGCGGCAGTGGGGCCACGAGATTCGGGGGGTTTTTCAGAGAAAGGTAAATGAACTGTTGTATGCCCACCCCCCAATTTTCTCCGCCAATTTCCCCCGAACAAATTACAAACGAAATGAGGCGAGTTCGTTTTGTTTTTCTTCTTTATTTTTTATTTTGACCGAACGAAATGCAATTGCTTTTAAGGGAGTACCCTTTATGCAGAGTATGATAAACTGATATTAAAGTTTAGATAGCTTTTTCAAAAATTGCAATAATTGCAGAGCATTACAATTAATATTCATATTTCAACAATTTTATTTAAAAAACTTTCAAAATTATTTGTTACGAGAGGTATCACCTACCTGTTTAATTTTCGTTGTTATTCAACTAAAAATTATTTTGAAAACATTTTAAAAAGGGAACTATTGTTTCGAATATCTCTGAACATCCCCCAAAAATCCGAATCTTTTTATGTGCGCTCCTTTTTTTTTTTTTTGGTGATTTTTGCTTAATTTGGTGCTAATGAAATGCGTTGGTCAACGCTGATTGCATGTGGCCATGGCCGTGGGTTTTAGGGGGGTTCAAAGTTACCCACAAAATCCAAAGTGTCACGCAAGCAAAGTCAATTGTCTGGGAAAACTTTAAACGGCCCTTTTAAAGGCATTACAATTTAAATGCCAATGTTGGCAATTTGTTAGTTGTCACGGAAAAGGAAATTGCCGGGGAGCCCCTTAAAAAAAAAGCCCAAAGGCCTTGGCGGTTAACCCGCAACTCAGACTGCTTTTCCTCCGCTTTTCTAATGCGCTTAGATTGAGCTGGCAAATGGAAAGCCGGGAAAACAACTCCAATTAGTCGACTGCTCCGACATAATCCCCAATAGCCGAGATTTCCTCAACTAAATCCAAGTCTGTCGAGTCTTTTTTAGGGGTGGGGATTACGGACCCCTAGCCATAACGTCGATGATTTCGGACCGATCCACTTAATTTGCGAAATTAAAATGCTGCGCACAAAATAATTCACGCTAATTAAATGTCCGTCAAATGGGGGCATCTTCTCAAAGAGAAAGTCGATGAGGGAATGTCCTTTAACAAAAGCTATATTTATTTGTAAATTAAATCATTGATTTCAAACAAACCTTTTCAAAAATAAATTAAATAATGCACATCACAAAGTCACTTTGTTATGGATTTAACTTCTCTTTTTAACTGCTTCCTCACTTAGTTTTAAGCTCTCTTTTTGCTGATAAATCCTGGACAAACACTTTGAGATACCCGAAAAAGGGCACTGAAATATTTGAGCAGTTGGAGCCATTGAATCGTTTCGACGGCATTTTTCCGAGTCTTTTGTTTATTGTCAGGCGCTTGAGTATTTTTGATTGACTGACGGATGAAAGGGTTCGCCTGATTGAGGTGAGAATTTGATTGAGAACGGAGAACGGAGAACGGGGCTGGCTATCCGCTGTCCTTGTTGACGCTTAACCGCATTTAATTTTATTGAATTTATTAAGTGATTAAAAAGTTGTCAATATCAACGAGTCATTGTTGCTGCCGTTGTTCGCTTTTGTTAGCCACATTGTCACAACAAATGGCATCGCGTCCGCTTTACTGTCCGCTTTAATCCTTGCTGTGGTCGCTTGGCAAAAACGAGGACACCCAGCGGCAATAACAACTGCGACGAAAAAGAGGAAAAAATATTGCAAAAAAGTATCCACTTTATGGACAATTGTGTAGAGATCGCTTTTTCAATATTTTTCAGCTTTTTGCCAGGGCAAATTTATTAATGCGCCACCGTGTGGCCTTTGTGGTCGTTGTGGATTATGCGGTCGTCTCACTTGTTGCCGAATCACCTGTCTTTTAAGCGGAACAATTATCCTCCCCCTTCCATTTGGTTTCCCTCCCGGGATTTCTCTAGTCTTCCCCTTGCCAGCTCCCGGAAATTGTTCAGCTATTTGCCAAGGAAAATTCACTGGCGAAACTCTAGTTAGCTTTTCCCGTTTTCCGCACCGCCCCTTTTGCGGTCAGTCAATGTCAACTGGGAAACTGCTCGTGGAAATTACTTAACTAGAGATGAAGGCAAACACAAGGTGCCAGAGGGTTGCCCGAAAAATTAGCAGTAATAGGTTAAGCTTCAAAGAAATATATTTAGCTGAAAAAAGATTCATTTTTAAAGTGAAAAGTTTAAAAAATATCGTTTAGGCATAATTTTCAGATAACTTTCACTA